AATAAGGAAACACAAGCTTTAAATGATACATTAAAGAAGATGTACTTAGTTGATATTTATAGGACATTCCATCCAAAAACAACAGAATACACATTCTTCTCACGTGCTCATGGAACATTCTCCAGGATAGATCATATCTTGGGTCACAAGTCAAGCCTTGGTAAATATAAGAAAATTGAAGTCGTATCAATCATCTTTTCTGACCACAATGCTATGAGACTATATATCGATTACAGGAAAAAATCTGTAAAAAATACAAACACATGGAGGCTAAACAATATACTACTTAATAACCAAGAGAACACTGAAGAAATCAAAGAGGAAATCAAAAAATACCTAGAAACAAATGACAATGAAAACACGACGACCCACAACCTATGGGATTCAGCAAAAGCAGTTTTAAGAGGGACGTTTATAGCAATACAATCCTACATTAAGAAACAAGAAACATCTCAAATAACTGTGATTAAAAATCGTGCAACAAACAAAAGCCCAGGACCAGATGGCTTCACAGGCTAATTCTATCAAACATTTAGAGAAGACCTAACACCTATCCTTCTCAGACTCTTCCAAAATATAGCAGAGGGAGGAACACTCTCAAACTCATTCTACGAGCCCACCATCACCCTGATAACAAAACCAGACAAAGATGTCACAAAGAAAGAAAACTATAGGCCAATATCAGTGATGAACATAGATTCAAAAATCCTCAACAAAATACTAGAAAACAGAATCCAACAGCACATTAAAAGGATCATACACCATGATCAAGTGGGGTTTATTCCAGGAATGCAAGGATTCTTCAGTATATGCAAATCGATCAATGTGATACACCATATTAACAAATTGAAGGAGAAAAACCATATACTATCATCTCAATCAATGCGGAGAAAGCTTTCGAAAAAATTCAACACCCACTTATGATAAAAACCCTCCAGAGAGTAAGCATAGAGGGAACTTTCCTCAACATGATGAAGGCCATATATGACAAACCCACAGCCAACACTGTCCTCAATGGTGAAAAAGTGAAACCCTTTCCACTAAGGTCAGGAACAAGACAAGGTTGACCATTCTCACCACTATTATTCAACATTGTTTTGGAAATTTTAGCCACAGCAATCAGAGAAGAAACAGAAATAAAAGGAATCCAAATCAGAAACAAAGTAAAGCTGTCACTGTTTGCAGATGACATGATACTATACATAGAGAATCCTAAAGATGCTACCAGAAAACTACTAGAGCTAATCAATGAATTTGGTAAAGTAGCAGGATACAAAATTAATGAACAGAAATCTCTGGCATTCCTATACACTAATGATTAAAAATCTGAAAGTGTAATTAAGAGAACATTCCCATTTACAATTGCAACAAAAAGAATAAAATATCTAGGACTAAACCTACTGAAGGAGACAAAACACCTGTATGCAGAAAATTATAAGTCACTGATGAAAGAAATTAAAGATGATACAAATAGATGGAGAGGTATACCATGTTCTTGGATTGGAAGAATCAATATTGGGAAAATGACTCTACTACCCAAAGCAATCTACAGATTCAATGCAATCCCTATCAAACTACTAATGGCATTTTTCACAGAACTAGAACAAAAAATTTCACAATTTGTGTGGAAACACAGAAGATCCCGAATAGCCAAAGCAATCTTGAGAACGAAAAACAGAGCTGGAGGAATCAGGCTCCCTGACTTCAGACCATACTACAAAGCTACAGTAATCAAGGCAGTGTGGTACTGGCACAAAAACAAAAATATAGATCAATGGAACAGGATAGAAAGCCCAGAGATAAACCCACGCACATATGTTCACCTTATCTTTGATGAAGGAGGCAAGAATATTCAGTGGAGAAAAGACAGCCTCTTCAATAAGTGGTGCTTGGAAAACTGGATATCTACATGTTAAAGATTGAAATTAGAACACTCCCTAACACCATACACAAAAATAAATTCAAAATGGATTAAAGACCTAAATGTAGGGCCAGACACTATTAAACTCTTAGAGGAAGACATAGGCAGAACACTCTATGACATAAATCACAGCAAGACCCTTTTTGACCCACCTCCTAGAGAAATGGAAATAAAATCAAAAATAAACAAATGGGACCTAATGGAACTTAAAACCTTTTGCACAGCAAAGGAAACCATAAACAAGACCAAAAGACAACCCTCAGAATGGAAGAAAATATTTGCAAATGAAGCAACTGACAAAGGATTTATCGCCAAAATTTACAAGCAGCTCATGCAGCTCAATATCAAAAAAACAAAGAACCCAATCCAAAAATGGGCAGAAGACCTAAACAGACATTTCTCCAAGGAAGATATACAGAGTGCCAACAAACACATGAAAGAATGCTCAACATTATTAATCATTAGAGAAATGCAAATCAAAACTACAATGAGATATCATCTCACACCAGTTAGAATGGCCATCATCAAAAAATCTACAAACAATAAATGCTGGAGAGGGTGTGGAGAAAAGGCAACCCTCTTGCACTGTTGGTGGGAATGTAAATTGATACAGCCACTATGGAGAACAGTATGGAGGTTCCTTAAAAAACTGAAAAAATTACCATACGACCCAGCAATCCCACTACTAGGCATATACCCTGAGAAAACCATAATTCAAAAAGAGTCATGTACCAAAATGTTCACTGCAGCTGTATTTACAATAGCCAGGACACGGAACCAACCTAAGTGTCCATCGACAGATGAAATGATAAAGAAGATGTGGCACATATATACAATGGAATATTACTCAGCCATAAAAAGAAACAAAATTGAGTTATTTGTAGTGAGGTGGATGGACCTAGAGTCTGTCATACAGAGTGAAGTAAGTCAGAAAGAGTAAAACAAATACCGTATGCTAACACATATATATGGAATCTAAGGGGAAAAAAAAGTTTATGAAGAACCTAGGGGCAAGACGGGAATAAAGAGACAGACCTACTAGAGAATGGAATTGAGGATATGGGGAAGGGGAAGCTGTGACAAAGTGAGAGAATGGCATGGACATATATACATTACCATACGTAAAATAGATAGCTAGTGGGAAGCAGCCGCATAGCACAGGGAGATCAGCTCGGTGCTTTGTGACCACCTAGAGGGGTCGGATAGGGAGGGTGGGAGGGAGGGAGACGCAAGAGGGAAGAGATATGGGAACATATGTATAGGTATAACTGATTCACTTTGTTATAAAGCAGAAACTAATACACCACTGTAAAGCAATTATACTCCAATAAAGATGTTAAAAAAAAAAAAAGAATGGAATGGAGCTATAATGGCAGAATGAAAGGACAAGTTTTTCAAATTCTAGCACATAATCAGCTGTTTATTCCACCTTACTGTAAACAATATCTAGGCTGCAGAATAATAATTCCAATAAAAATACGATAACCTTATGAGTTTGTGTGTTTGGAATAACACAAGTCAAGAACAACTACTGGAAATATTTTAGCCCTCATTCTTCTTCTAGAAACACAAATTACATGGAATGCATGCGTATACATTTGCATTCAAAGATTATTTCTTTATCATACCTGAGCATTCATAAAACATTATTCCTTTTCCTTCGGTGGACCTCAAAAATGTGTGGAAATACTACTTCAAAATTAAATGATTAGAAGAGCAAAAACATTGTTTCTAATGCGTGTGTTCATTACGTGATAGTAACACATATGGTGAGAAATATTTTGCCTATGTAGACTGAAGCCCTGAGTGCTGATAATATTCAAATAACTGAACAACTGATATTTTAATAACTCAAAATCAGAGGGTTAAGTTAAAGTGGTCATTGTAGGTGAAAGCCGTATGAAGCTTCAAAGTCCAAGAATGACCTACAAATACCTCTGAATGGGAAGAAGTCTCTATTAAGTCAGTGTTGGGAACTATTGACCTGAAAGCTTGAAACGGCTCCTAGTATTTCTTTTGCAGTAGTATTTCTTCTGGCAAAGAAGAGAAAGAAAAAACAATCAAAGATACCTCATAGATGCAGAATAGGTCATATATTATGTCTTCTCATCAGTCATTCAACTCTTCTAGTCTTGGTATTCATTTTTGTTTGCATAGATATTGATATTTACTAAATTACTAGCTAACAATAATTGATAAAACAGTGTGACAGTCTTTTCTTTGGGTACCACAGTGCTAGTTGAAAATGTAGGATACAACAGCAATTGCTTTTTGGGTTTTGAATAACTAGTATATATTTCTTTTAAGTTCTAAGATTGTTCTTACTGAGCCCACAAGTGAGGCATTATTCATCTTCCCTATCTGAATGTGACTGGGCCATAGAAGAAACTTGCTCAGATATAAAAGGAGAGTGTGGAGGGCTTCCCTGGTGGCGCAGTGCTTGAGAGTCCGCCTGCCGATGCAGGAGACGCGGGTTCGTGCCCCGTTTCGGGAAGATCCCACATGCCGCGGAGCGGCTGGGCCCGTGAGCCATGGCCGCTGAGCCTGCGCGTCCGGAGCCTGTGCTCCGCAAATGGGAGAGGCCACAACAGTGAGAGGCCCGCATAACGCAAGGAAAAAAAAAAAAAAAAAAAAAAGGAGAGTGTGGAGAAACCAGTGTGGTGCTAAAATGCTACCAGAGTCACACTATCATTAAGTATGCTTATTCATTGAAAATTAATAAAAATTTAATTTTACAATAATTGCTACAGATATAAGTGGTAATATTTCATGAGTAACTCATTTCCCAGCTTTTAAATCCAAAACTTTGCATTTCTGTTATGTAAAGTAGTATCCATTTACTAACTTTTCATGCCTTTCATTCAGATTTTCAAAAGTTTTAGTATTACACTCACTCTTGTACTTAAATGCATAAAAATCCAAAAACATGTATCAGAGGCAATAAGTTCTTTTAACATGTTCTTTTCTGACATGTAAATGACCTACTGCATTTGACACTGAATCACTTAAAACAAAAGCGAAGGAAAAGGGCATAGATGAAAATAAATGCATCCAGTCATCTATATAGAAATAAACTGACCTTCTTAAAATTTTTGTTTAAATCAACCAGACTGAGCAGGAAGATGTGGTCCTTGGCTCCCAGCAGCAGCCTGCCCCTCTCCTCATCTAACAAAGTGGTTTGGAAATCCAGTCCTTCCGATGAGCCCAAAAAGGGAATACAGCTATTTGAAAGCAGCAAGTCTACGGGGAAGTAAAAGAAGGATAAAAAAAAAAAAAAAAATTCTGAATAAGCAAAATGTTTATTTGCCTCCATACACGCTGTTCCACTTTGTAAATGCATATACACAGCATGAAAGCTCCAATTTAGATATATGAAAACAATATACAGTTTTTAGCACATACTCATTTAGCAAGAGATGGAACTTATTATATTTGTATTTTATTGACATAATGTTTATCTTATTATCAAAAATGAATATAAAACATGTTAACACAAAAGCAATAAATGCAAAATTTCTCACAACACTGTTTACCTTTTTCTAAAATACCTTTTTTTAAAGTAAATCTATTTATCTATTTTTGGCTGCATTGGGTCCTCATTGCTGCCCATGGGCTTTCTCTAGTTGCGGCAGGTGAGCGGGGGCTACTCTTCATTGCAGTATCCAGGTAGTCGTGGTGCACAGGCTTAGTTGCTCCACAGAACGTGGGATCTTCCTGGACCAGGGTTCGAACCTGTGTCCCCTGCATTGGCAGGCGGAGTCTTAACCACTGCGCCACCAGGGAAGTCCCTGCCTTCTTTAGTTATAAATTAAAGCATCTATCTACCTACAGTAAGATTTGCAAACTGATCAAATTATCAATGTATGCAAAGTAAGCAGCAAACTAAGTGTGTGATAAATCTCAGGCATTTTTTTTCCCTTCTACTTTTGATAATGTTCAGATTGACCCCATGTCTGGAAGATTACACAGTGCCTATTTCACATATACAGCAAGATGTAAACAAAGAAGCAATGGATTCTGAAGGAGATGTGATCCTGAACCAGTGATGGAATCAGAATTATAAAGCAAGAAGGGACCTTAAAAATCAATCAATGCAAATTTATGATGTTATAAATGGAGGTGTTTAATTCCATCAAGATGAAGCCACATGCCCTAAAGTCACAAAACTATGGTGGCAAAGCTGATAATATAACCTCAGTCCCAGTCTCCATTTATCTTTGGTTTGTTACCGGGCCTAATTCTTTGTTTCAGTTATAATTGTGATATGAACAGATTCCTATTTAAATTTAGGTCTGAGGGTTAGTGGTTAGGACTCCATGCTCCCACTGCTGAGGGCATAGGTTCAATCTCTGGTCAAGGAACTGAGATCCCACAAGTCATGTGGCATGGCCAAAAAAAACAAAAACCAAACAAAATAAATAAATAAATTTAGGTCTGAGTTTACAGGAGCCCAAATCTTTTCAATATGTTTCACCCCAAGTACAAAACATACCCTCTCGGGGCTTCCCTGGTGGCGCAGTGCTTGAGAGTCCGCCTGCCGATGCAGGAGACACGGGTTCGTGCCCCGTTTCGGGAGGATCCCACATGCCGCGGAGCGGCTGGGCCCGTGAGCCATGGCCGCTGAGCCTGCGCGTCCGGAGCCTGTGCTCCGCAAATGGGAGAGGCCACAACAGTGAGAGGCCCGCATAACGCAAGAAAAAAAAAAAAAAACAAAAAAAAACATACCCTCTCATTTTCTACAACCCTAGACTATTAAATACCAATAAGATAATAACATCACTCATCACTTTTATTAAAGTCCATTATATGTTACTGAACTTTAAAACTAAATCATTATGTTCAAGCAATTCATTATCAATTAATGAGAAAAATAAAAAGAGACGATGTCTTAGAAACAGGCATCAAGATGCTTCCAAAATGTGTAATGGCAGTTTTCAATCTCTGTAAAATGGATATTTGAGTCCCTTAAATTTAAAGCCTATATATTCCATCCATCAACTGTGGGCTTTATTACTATTTCATGTTTTTGAGAATTCCCGTCACTCTACTTTTCTAATTTACAATGATTAAATGTTACTTCTTTTAGTCACTGAGATAGATTTTCTGTCTTAGTTTTTTTTTTTTTTTTTTTTTTTTTTTTTTTTTT